GCCCCGACCGGGACTAGAACCCGGTGTGCCGGCACTGCGAAGCGGAGGATTAGCCTAGTGAGCCACTGTGCTGGGCAACAGTTTTCTTATGTTTATTTTGCATATAATGTCTAGGATGCACTTAGCAAGAGGAATAGGAAAAATGTGTCTAGTCCATATTTCCAGAAGCAGAAATCACTAACAATAATCACCATTTCACTTTAAACATACCGCTCTACTTAAGTAAAAAATATAAAACAAGCAACAGGAAAGTTTTACAGACTATCAATACAGACATTTCCTTATGAGAGGAAATTGGTCATCTTTACCGGGACGTTCTTTATGTTCTCAACTATAAAGCTGAACTTTTAATAGTAAAACAAAATGTATTGTGTTTTTTCCCTGAAAAGCTAATATGCCTCTTTCATTTATGTTAAAAATTATATAAATAATTACATTTTCATATTCCCTTTTCTGCAAGCCTACTCAGACCTAAATTTTGTTCTTAACTTCAATCTATTTGCGTATCAGAATGTTCTGGCATGGCTACAGGTTCATTATCCTTTATTATATAGCTCCAACTCTATGTTTATGAGTGCAATATGGCTGTTATTGTTTTTTTAAAAACCTCAAATTTTTTTGAAATCAGATGATGTACAAAAAGGGAGATTTCTGTTATTAGGAGGGATTCTGGGAATTAATATGACTTAAAGTATATTCCAGGTAACTTCCAAAGCCGTGTTCCTAGAACACATGCATTGCATTGTAGATTGTATTGAATTGTAGATTGCTTTTTTTTTCTCTTATGTGGCTATGAGAAGGTGAAATCAGGGCCTGCATCACTGCTGACACAGGCTATTACTGTGTAAGAGCACACGCTGAGTGTTTACAACACACTGCTGTAGATGTTGAGGATATGATCATCTACTTTCTAGAGACTCCATTATAGCAGACAAAATGAGCATGTTATATGTGCTGGCAAATAGATGACAACATCTGCTCTTACAGTTGTTTGCAAGAATGAAAAAAAAAATCATCCAAAGAGAAAAGGAAGTAATCATTAGACTGAAAACAAACCTACAGAAACACAAATTTCCTCTCTAATTGCATAAACTCAAACTAATAGAAATCATTAGATTATCAGAAATATCATATTTTAGTTGTGTGATAAAACTAAGTTAAAAACTATTGAGAATCAATTTAAGATAATTTGAAAATTATTTTTCTCTCAGTTTCTGTAAACTTAGATGTTCATTCAGTATTTATTTTGGAAAATACTATCAGATTGTGTAAAGAATTATAATTGGGCATAAATACCTGTTGTATTAATTATTATTAAGTTACCTTAGGGAGACACATATTAAACATCTCTAACTTCTCATGAGCAAATTGAGAAGAGAATACTTAACGTGATTGTGAGAGTTCGCTAATATAACACATTTAACTCAAAATAATACCTGTGTGGCTCATCCAACACAAGCAAGATTCTATTTCCTTTCCCTAGCCCCTTCCCTATATGCTAATGACTCCTTTTGTCCTCATTTACTATTAACAGATCTTCAATATTTTTCAACCAACATAAAATCGAAAATTTGCTTTGAATTCTGTTTTTTACACATATTTTTGACAGCATCAAGTTAAGAAGGAAAACTATAAGGGAATTCTTCCTTTAATGTTTTAAATTATTTTAAGAAATAAAAATTTCTCATGTCAAAAATAAAGAAGTTGTTGAGGAAGTTATTCCATACTCCCAACATTTTACACAAAATAATAACTCTTGAAGCCATTAAAAACTCCTTTGAATAATACACAGCACAATCTTAGCAAACTCTTCAATCCAAGATTTTCTTTTTTTTTTATTTATTTTTTTAGGGGAAGAAGCTGATCTATCAAGAGAACACTCTTCTGCTGGATGACTTCCTCAGAGAGAAGGAGAGGCAGAAATAGAGAAGCTGGGAGCCAGGAGCACACTCCCCAATTGGCCGCAACGGCCGGAGCTGCACCGATCTGAAGCCAGGAGCCAGGAGCTTCCTCCAGGTATCCCATGCAAGTGCAGAGGACCTAGGACTTGGGCCATCTTCTACTGCTTTCCCAGGCCATATCAGATAGCTGGATCAGAAGTGGAGCAGCTGGGACTTGAACCAGAGCCCATATAGGATGCCGGCACCAAAGGCAGTGGCTTTACCCACTATGCCACAGCGCCAGCCCCAGGATTTTCTTTTTAACTCTTCTTTGTATTTTGTTTCAGCTTAATAAATATTTTTTGTCCTTGATTATATATAATTATAGATTATTGAGAGAAAAAAAAATCCATTAACCCATCAGAGAGAAATAACCTATCTTGCAGTATATATTTAGTTCTCCATGGTACATTGGAAACATGACATAAAAATTTCCCAGAGAGCAAAAAATATAATTTTTTATGATTTATTTCTCAATAAGTGTCTGAAGGTCATGGAGGAAAGTAAGGCAAATGGTGGGACTAGGTATTCAAAACTGATGGTATAGGGGCCAGCGCTGTAGCGTATTGGGTAAAGCCGCCACCTGTAGTGCCAGCATCCCATATGGGCACTGGTTTGAGTCCTGGCTGCTCCACTTCCAATCCAGCTCTCTGCTATGGTCTGGGAAAGCAGTAAAAGATGGCCCAAGTTCTGGGACTCTTGCACCCACATGGGAGACCCAGAGGAAGCTCCTGGCTCCTGGCTTCAGATTGGCTCAGCTCCAGCTGTTGCAGCCATTTGGCGAGTGAACCAGCAGATGGAAGACCTCTCTCTCTCTCTCTCTGCCTCTCTTTCTCTAACTCTTTCAAGTAAATAAATAAATCTTAAAAAGAAACTGATGGTATAGTTTAACAGAACAATAGTATTTAGAATTCTAGAAGGAAGAATGAACTGAGTATTATAAAGGAGAACAATATTTCTTAATTGCTATTTGATGAGCATTAATGCATCTCAGAGAGCAGAACAGAAGTTAGGCCTCTGACAGTTTCTCGAGTATAAATGTTTTATGTCTCCAATTAAAAGCCGATCCACACACTGAAAACCATCAAATGAGCTGGAGATTCTCTGGGGAGGTGCAACTTAAGATGGCTTAGTAGATCAATAATGAGATACAGAACCCTTAACCTTTGATCACAAGGTCACTTGTAAGCTAGGATGAGGATGAGTAAATGGCATTATTGGTCAATATCTTACAGGAGTTTAAATGAATTGCTTAGCTCCATTCTGCTTTTGTTACTATTTGATTATGAGTTATAGATTTAGTGGGTGACCCTTTACCACTGAAGTTCACTTATCCTGACCAAGACCAAGTTGGTCTTTCAAATTATAGAAAGAGATTGTGAGGTCCAATATATTATTTTTTAAGCCTTCAAAATAGTTGATTCATCTATTTTTATTAAATCTGAGGAAGTGAATTTAAAATTGTGCATTACATAGAAATATTTGTCTTGGATTTTACTGAATTACTATTCTGTACTAAGTCAAAGCTAATTGCTTCTGCCTCTTCCAGATAAAGAAGCTGCAGTGTCTTTTTGTAGTACTGAAAATCACATTTGTATTGTGAAAATCATGCAGTTTCATTGCTGTTTTTAGTAACTAATTGCTGCCTGGATTGTCTATGGTGTTTTTTTTTTTTTTCTCTCTTTTAGTAATTCACAGTTTGTGGGTTGCCTTGTCGAATAGCAGAGATTTGGCTGCTTTGTATTCCATATCTAAGCCACTTGGGATTGTTTACTATTGTGTTTCAGTTTAAATAATCCCATATTAACATACTCTTCAATAGGTCAAAAATGTGATCAATAAAAATGAATGGCCAAGATTATGAGAACAGAAAAGTATTAACTAGTCTAGGAAAAAAATTAAGCCTTGTTTCAAATCCTGGTATCCTTTGTCAGGATTATGAAAATGAGCACATATTTGTAATAAAGCAAGACTTAACAAACACCAAGTTTCCAATTTTCTCATTCTGAAAGACAAGGTTCTATGACTGAATATTTGGCAAAAGCTTAATATCTGGCACAAAAGTTAACAGGAAAATTAATTACACCTGGAGCTAGCCTTCAACTAACATGTACCAGGCTGCAAGCAAATTGACAGCTGAGAATATTTCCCCATTCCTTTATCATCTCAGCACCTAAGAGAGTGCCTGGCACAGGCTGTGAGTTTAGATAGTTACTAAATAAATGAATATGGGAATGAATGAATGAACTGTCCTAAGAGTCTGATATGGAATTTCACAGGTGGGAAAAGTTAATTGAAACATCGCTGTCAGAGATTTGTTCTAGATATGAAATTATAAATCCCATGAAACATCTCTGTTAGAAAAATAACCAAAGATAACCCTTTAATAATATCCCATTTTAATTTATTTGTGTATATCACTTCATTGTTTCCTTCATCTATTCCTTAGTGGTAAAATATTAATTACCTTAACCATGAGAAGATTTGGTTCAGAAAGTAAAGAAAGTAAAATTCTTATTATTCGTTCTGCAAGTTGATATCTCTGGTGGAAATTCTAAGAACATCATTTAAAGTGAGTTCCTTATACACCTTTAAAATTCAGTTATTTGTGCTTTCCTTTTTGCTATTTCTTATATTCATTGAGATCATTTCCAAGCAATGGTGTGACTGGGGTGTATGTACAAAAATAGTGAGTTTTTTTTTTCATAATTCAGCCTGTGAATCACACATGAATTGACAGAAACACTGCAAGCACATTGTTGTTTCCCTGTGTGTGTGTATGTGTGCGTGTGTGCACTTGCTCAAAAGGTAGAACTCTGAGTGGTGGAAAAGGGTGACACCAAATTTTTTCTCAGTTTCCTCATGTGGTAGAACAAAATGTTAATTCCTCCACTGAAGCTTATGCAAACAAAATTCCATACTCTCCATCATCAACATGCAGTTTGACTTTGAAATCCGTGAAACATGAGACATGAGTGTACCTAAGAAAGGAAGATTACTTCATGTGTTTCCACGGGTTTTCCTGATAATAATCGCCTGTGTTTTCCCATTTACCCTTAGCTTCGTCAGAGTCCCTTCACCACCTCCATAGATCATTCCTACCAGAGGTCACAGGTCTCAAAAAACCTACAGAAACAGGAAACAAACTTCCTGAGTGCACTGCAAAACACAGAAACCTGCTTCCTCTATTCATCTCAAACGGGCAGAGATCTGTCTTAGCGGATTCAATGTGAAAGCAGCTATCGAAACGGCCAGAAGGGCTTCATCCCACAATTTCCCATGAGCTTTCTTGTTTCAAAGGACTAAGATGGAGGCAGCAAGGTTATTCGTCCTGCTCTCCAGTTTATGGAGTGGAGGCATCGGGCTTTACAGCGTGGAGCCCTCCTGGACTGCACCTGAAGGTGAAAGCTCCCAGAATGTGACTTCTGCCTCAGTTGCTCCCAACACAACAGAAGGTTTCCAACTGCTGCCCACCGCTCGGCCCGAGTTAGCTGAGATCGCCCCGATTCCTGAAGAGGGAACTTCTGAAGAGACTCTTCTACAGTCAGCATTGCCCCTCTTAGAGTCAAGTACACCTGCTGAGGGTGTGGGAAACCAGACGCCTGCACCCACAGAGATGACTGAAGAAGGAACCGTGAAGTCACAAAATCCTGCCCTCAGGACCCAGACTAGCACCAAGTTCAATCCCGGAGCAAAGTCGGTGGTCCTTTCCAATTCTACACTGAGATTTCTGCAGAGTTTTGCTAGCACGTCAAAGGAACAAACAGTGCCTCAGAACTTAGCTGGAGGCATGAGAAATCGGTCCCCCAGGAAAACATATCTCAGCGACCAAAGTCAAGGAGCTGGCTATCAAAAATCAAGTTTTGAGACAACTAGAGGAAAGTAAGAAACAGTTTTTCCTTTTTTACTTTCTCTGGCTATAAGGTCCACCAAAACACCTTAACAGTTTAAACTACGGCATTCCTGGAAAATTATTTCAGGTGTGAGACGAAATCAGACCCTATTTGTAATTTCAACATTTCGGTTAGGTATGGTCTTTGTTATCTTCCTATCTAACAGAGAAAAGATGAGTAAATAAAATGCAGCAAATTTGTTTTAACTAAATAGCCAGTCACTTCTCTGTTAAGTTGTATAGATGCCTTTAAATGGATTAGTCACTACCATATCAGCATGGGGCTGGTAGTTTATGTAATTCAACTCCTGGTATGTGCTGGTGTTGATTGTGCTCAGAGCTATACCTACGAAAGAAAAGGAAGAAAAAAAAAAACAGAATAAAATAGTAAAGCTGGGAAGTGAGCAGATTTGAAAATCGCAGCAGTGGTACTGTGAAAGGTATAAAGCTCTCAGGGATCAAACCAAATCAACTGAGTTATGCTTGATAACTTCATGTAATTGAGCTGGATTGCAATCCTATCTTTAGTACTGTGGAGATTCACGGCTCTAAGCAAGTCATTTGATCTCTCTGAATCTCAGTTTCTTCATATATACAAATACAAATACAGATAAGATGCAGGGGATACAGATAAAACGACAATTGCAGGATTATCACGGACATTAAAATTCATAAAATGTTTGTATGCATGCTGCCTACAGAATACTTAACAAGTCATACTCTACTAATATTGTAATTATATTAAGATGTGCTATCATAATGAGTGCAATGAATCAGAAAAGCCTAATTTGACAAATGAATTTTGATTTAAGTTATAGCAGTTCGAATTGATAAACTAAAATAAGTAATAAAACAAAGCTTAGTATTGTTTAAAAAGGAAATAAGCAAAGAAAAACATACATGGTCAATTCAATGTTTTGTTCATTTAATGTGCTGAGTTATCTGTATGTTTGGAATACCAGATATTTAGTGTTACAAAACTAAACTTCAAAACACTTTTAAACTATATTGAAACAATTTCAAGACAACAAATACATTTTGGGAGTTAAGCTGAGTTAAATATCTTACTAAAAATACAAGGGCACTTCAAAAAGTTCAGGGAAAATGGAATTAAAAGTTAATATCCATTTTCCGCAACTTTTGGAAATACACTTATATAATAAAATTTGAGTTAATGCAAGTTAACACTTGCTGTGTGAAAGACATCTTGTTAAAGTGGCTGCTGATATACATATCAGGAATGAGTCAATGGGAAGGACACAAGCAAATAGATTTATGATTTCTTTATTATTTAAGTCAACTTTTCATTGTGTTTAATTAAAAAATATAAGTCTTATTTATCTGCAAATTTACTCACTTATAATTTAGAAAAATCCCAATTATCTAGAAAACATATATTATAGGTTACAAAATCTTCAACTCGCCTACACCAGACATTTAACAAACTTATGTTTATATTTCTGTTTTGGAGGAAAACAGATTTCTATCTATTAAAAATAACAAATACTATTTATCAAGAGCCTTTTATTAATCATTTCCATGTATCATTTCTAGTGATCATATTTTATTAGAGTTTGTAAGTCAGTTTTTGTCTATAATAGAATTTTTAGACATTCATAGGAAACCATTGTGAACTTTCCAGAAATGCTAGTTATAGATTTTAATAGACTTGAAAATATTATAAAAAGGATAAAAAAGTTAAAATGTTATGTAACATATATAAAGTGGTATATATTTTTCATAGTTCAAACTAGTAGTTTAAAAGTTTCATAAATACTAGATTTTAAATAGCTGCTAGTTGCTTTACCACTTACACTCAAAGCCTGGGAACAGTTATTTATTTGATGATTGTTTGTAAATTGACTACCATGTACCTAACACTGGGCTAGGCTGTAGGAATGCCCAGAATTTATGAATAATAATAATTCCTTCCTATAAGAAATATTTCATACAAATAGTAAAACCAACATAGGTAACATATAACAGATTTTTTTTTTAAAAATCAATATGTTTTATTTGAAAATCACACATTGTAAGTGTAGCTTACTGAACAACCTATGGATTTTCTAACAACAATAATCTTAAGTTGTTTCTCTAGAAATAATAACTGCACTTAGAGACTTTATAACTTGAGGTCCTGGAAAGCCTGAGGTTTTGTTTCGGTAATTTTTTGCTGAACATTTAAGATTTCTTCTCATGAAGCTATGCAAATGACAATGGTATTAGAGAATACCTAGGTCCCTCCTTGATAGTGTGGATGTAAGAGACCCTGATAAGTTCAAAAGAAGTCTTTCATATTTTCATTTGATTAGAAAACACTACTACTACTAAGTTCCATTTATATGGCACTGTTCCTGGTACTGTACAGTAGTGAGATATATATGTGTATCTCACCACAGTTCCCCACAGACGAAGAAGATCCTGTCACTTCCTTAGAGAGTTTAAGTGACTCACCTAAAAGACTTAGCCAGCAAATCTCTGTGCAAGGACCCAAAGCCAAGCTGGCTGGCTTCAAAGTCGTATATTTTCAATCCCTACGTTATATTCCATCTTCAGGTACAGTCTATTTTCCCAAGTAGGAAAATAGCAGTGAGCAGTCCACTTTCCTGTCGTGAGCCCTTGGAGGCTGTTGGTTGACTGCAGAATACTTTCCAGATTCCTTATCCGGTTAGTCACATAATGCCATCCTGGACCTGGCTCCTGCCTTCCTCCCCAACTTCATCTTCTGCTGCTTCCAGCCTATGCACATCTGTGGTTCTGTGGTCAACAAGATGCCCTGGGTTCAGCCTCCTTTTCCTTTTAGTTGATCCCTCTGTCCAGCATGGTCGTCTTTTCTTCATCTCCTTTTTTTTTTCCCGATGATAATACTTTAGGCAGCCTTCTCCGGCTATTAGGTGGCCCTTGTGACTGCTCCTATAGCTCTCCCTGGGTTCTTCCCTCACTGTATCTGTAACAGTGCATAAGAATTACAAGGAACAGTGTCATCTCTTTGCACATTGGTACACGTTTTTAGTGTTAGCAAAGTCTCTTATTCCAGGTACACAATAAATATTTAATCAAACAATGTTAAACAGGAAAGTCAACAAATGAATATAAGACAGAATCTTTTCCAAAGAAATATTCTTATTTGTCTATGAAAATACCTAGTTAGTTTGGGATAAACTCATCTTAGTTTGTTGTTGTTGTTTCATTTTGTTTTTGCTACCATTCTCAGGATTTTATAATGATCCTTAGTAAAGGGAATACTTGTGACTATGGCAGGTTCTCTTCTACAGGATTTCTCTGGCTTATTTTTGGTTCTTCTTGTATTATCTCCCAGGTTAGCACTGCAGGAAGTTCAGGCTAAAACAGAGCTGTGGCTTCCCGTCTGACAGAGTGGGTATAGTCAATGACCAAATGCTTTCAAACTTTCAGGATAAAAAGAAGCTAGGATTAGTGTATTTAGGTGATGAACAAATATTTCCTGAACACCTAATCTATCCCTAAAGCTAGTCATAAAACAGTAAACAAAAATTTCTGCATGCCTTGCCCTGCTGTGGTACCTACAGCCCAGTGGGAAGGTTCTGAGAAGGAAAACAATGAATCACAAATGCTGATGTTGAAACAGTGATGAACTTTCTGCATGACGCTTGTGAGAGTGTGTAACGGGGTGAGTGGCTTACTCATTCTGAACATTCTGAACAGGGTCAGTAAGCCTTCCCAGCAGGGGAAGAGGTGAAACGAGGTAAGGACGTGCTCCAAATGCCTACTTAACTTCTCCTCTACCCCTTGCTGCCCCTTGCACACTTGTGTCTGAATCTTTGCCATCTTGGTGAATGGTTCATTTGGCAACTACAAACTTTAGATATGCCCTTGACATTTTCCTCTCCCTCCTGAGAGATCTTTTTGATGCATTTCACTGGTTGTAAGATTTTACTATTTTTTTAAGATTTATTTATTTATTTGAAAGTCAGAATTAAAGAGAGACAGAAAGAGAGAGAGAGAGAGAAAGAGAGAGAGAGAGAGATCATGTATCTGCTGATTCACTCCCCAAATGGTTGCAATGGCTGGAGTTGGGCCAATTGGAAGTAGGAGCCAGGAGCTTTTCCCAGGCACCCCATGTAGGTGCAGGGGCACAAGCACTTAAGTTATCTTCCATTGCTTTCCCAGGCACATTAGCAGGGAGCTAGAATGGTAGTGGAGCAGCCAGGACTTGAACAAGTGCCCATATGGGGCATGGCAGAATCATACACGCCAGCCTAACCCATGATGCTGCAGTGTCAGCCCTAGACTTCACTTGTTAAGTGACACATTATCTTAGGGACTAAAAAGAAGGAAAAAGGTGACACCATATTTTCTTGTTTAGAACTTTTAGATTTAGTTATCTTTTACTTTTTGAGATTTTTTTTACCATGTATCATTCTTTTACAAACTTAAAGTGAAACTGTTTAAAGCATTTCGAAGGTAATAGCAATAACTATTGTGTGGTCAACAGTAGTTAAGAATTACTGCTGAATTCAAAGTCCATTCTTGATTTCAGAGATGTGTGCAGAATTTAGTATTTCACTCAGCATCACAGTCCAAGCTCCCTGTACTTCATTTCCTCCAGCCTCACTGGCCTTTATTTCTGTGTGTGTTTCCTGAGCCTGTCAGGTTAATTCGCATCTCAAGGAACCTCCTGTTTGCTCTTGCTGGAATGCTCTTCCTTCAGCCCTCAGAAGGAAGGACTCTGCAGTTTCAATGCCGTTTCCTCAGAGAACTTCTCTGACCACCCAATGTAAGAATATCATTCCTCTCACTCACCGCTCCTGTCTTACCACCTGATCTTTTCTTCGTAGCACTTATTTGAAATTATCCAGTCCACTTATATAGATAGTTGGCTATTTCATGTTTTCCCACAATAGAAATTCACCCCATGAAAATGGGATCCTTGTCTGTATTATTTACTATTCTGTTCTTTGCCTAGTAAAGCAGCAAAATGGACACAACTGGAAAACATCATGTTAAGTGA